ATAGTGCCAAAACCCAATCTCCACCATACACAATGTAGCTCTTGAGGAGCTCTTTAACTTTGATGAAGAAGCAATGGGCGAATTTCTAATGGATGTAAGAAGATCAAGGATTTGATCTTGTTTTTGATGCAGAAAGGTAGAGAGAAGGGAGAGAAAAGAGTTTTTATAGAGAGAGAGAGAGAGAGAGAGAGAGAGAGAGAGATGCAACAAAAGTGATATACAAACAGTCCAAAGAAGGAGAAAAAGCAGATTTTCAGACTGCCTAGAGGCCCGCATGTGCGGCGCCCACTCCCGCACATGTGACCTTCATCCCTGCACGTGCGGTGGCCCCTCCCCGCACCTCACTCCACACCTGCATATAATGTAATGTGCAAGCTAAAAAACCCACACTTCCCCGCACGTGTGGCTTCATCTCCCGCACGTGCGGCCCCTTTCCCGCACGTGCAGCCCTAGTCCTCCAGTCCAAAAATTTTTCTGGTTCAATTCCAAACACTCCGAACATCGATCGTGCACCCTCTGAAACAAGTGACACACAGACCCGAAATAAACAAGGACATGAATTTGAGAAAAACTTCTGAACACAACAAACCCAATGAAGACAATAGGTGAAATGACGTATAATGAAACCGGTCATCATAAAACTCATAAGGAAAAAACAAAATGTCTCAATTATTTATTATTTTGATAAATTTATCATTATTATTACTATCTCAAATTATCATTCCACAAACACAAAACACATCTAAAATGTTTCAAAATTGTTCCTCATCAAAATGATGGGCAAATATGTAAAAAGAAATTAACTCACGACTTATGAATAAATAAGTCTAGTCAATAGGATCTGAAAAAATCTAGAAATTTCCTAGATGTTGATTTGTGATTATGTATCAATTTTAAGCAGTATATAACAATCCCAATCAAACAATCAAGACAAATCGACACAACGATTTTACGTGGAAAAACCACAATTGGACACCTCCAATTGTGATAAAAAAATCACGGGCAACAGCCACAAAACAATCCACTAAGAAGATATAAAGGAATTACACAGGTATACTCTCAATTACCTAGCGAATCCACGCCCGAATTGAACCAACCTCTATGTGCCTCTTCTAACCCCGTCTTCACCTCGGAATTGTCTTGATGATGAGCCACTCCGGAATCCACCAAAGCTTCAGGCTCGAATTCTTCAGAATCCACCGAAGAACAACTCTCTTTTTTGTGTAGAATTAAACAAACAATCCTTTGATGTATGCTTCTTAAACCATGAGTTGAATACTCAATGAAAACATCAAAGAAAACTAGTAAAATATCCCCAGATATAAACCTTAGAACCCAAAAAGAAGATCTGGAGGAGTAAGTAAAGTTTTGGGAGAAAACCAACTACTTATAGAAAACCAAAGTAATCCTAGTTTTGGAAGAAAACCAATTCCTTATTGAAATCCGGATTTTGAAGTTCGCTCGGGCGAAGCTTCTCTCGCTCGAGCGAGAACCTTAACTCGCGTGATTTCTACTAGTGCCCTCGCTCGAGCCACGAACCCTTCGCTCGAGTGAACAATGAGCTCTTTTAGGTTTTTTATATAGACGCAATCCTTCGCTCGAGCAAGGACTTCTTCGCTCGAGCGAGCAAGGGCGGACATGCAACTTTGAATGCAATTTTGCATTTTGCTTCGGCCGCGAGCTGACCGGGCAGCTCGACCCCCGTCATAATCAGCGAAGTGGCAATCTTGAAAGTATTAACATTACAAACTTCTCTGCAAGGCTCGATTCGGGTTGGATTCGCATCTAATAAACTCATAGCCTCACTGAAATAAAAGTGCGAAAACAAATACAACTGAAAGGAGTTTTGTCAAACGGGATTGCCAAGAATAAAAACCTAACAGGATCTATTAGTAATTTTTCTTATTTTAAATGCCAAACCCAACCCTCGCCTAACCTGCCACCGCCATTGCCGCTACCGCTAATCTCTTTCCCAACTTGCAATTGTTTTCATTGAGAGAGAGAGAGAGAGAGAGAGAGAGAGAGAGAGAGAGAGATCGTGTGGCGATATTGCAATTGCGCTAAACCAAATCTAGTTTTGCATAAGGTAGGAAGAGGAAGGGAAAGAAAAAGAGGTGATGGTTGGAGGCAGCAATAATGATTTGGGTTTCACGATCTTATTCTTCTCTCTCTCCCTCTCTCTCTCATGCTTGGGGGTAAGAGGACGGGAGGCAAGGCACAACGGCAGGGAATGAAGAAGAGACTTTTCATTAAACTATGATTGAATTATGATTTTGCAAAAGTCTTCTTAGTTTCCAATGTATTGTGCAATTATTTTAGATTCTCATTGATCTTGCAATTATTTGTTGAACTTTTCATTAATGTGCAATTTCCCCCAATCTAATTGTCCATTGATCATTGCCTGTGATAATTAATTTAGCTCATTGTTAGAATGTAACTAGTTTTTTCCATTGCAGTGTTCCTCCAATTGGCCCATTTTAGGTGATTGTTGCATTAATTTTGTTTTTGGAAACAACTATGTAATACTGGTTCAACGGTAGACAGTTCGAATGGTCACTTATGACCCCGAATAAAGAAGGGTAAGACTGATTATATTTTTGTTAATTATATGTATATATATGAAAGAAATTATTAATCAAAATAATTTCAAAATTAAAAATGTTACCAATAGTTTCTTTGGGAGTAAATAAAAAATGATCAAATCTTAAATTATCAAAAAAGGATACCATTCTCTCAATCGAATAAAAAAAGACCAAAACCTCTCTTATTTGATACAAATGAGGTCTTATTATTATATTTACACCTATTTCATTCTCTTAGTCAACATTAAAAAAATTATTTATTAAAATTATTTTAATTGTAAAAATTAAAGATATTGATATGAATTTTAAATAAAGATCATAGTATCAACAAATAAAATTTGTTGAAAGTAAACAAGGGAGGAAGAAAGAGCAGGTCGAGTTGGGTTGGGTGGGGTGGATAGAAGGTAGTAGAAGCAAAAATGGAGGTAGGGGATTTTTTATTTTTTATTTTTTACTAGGGTTAGATTTTGGTGAAAACAAAATGAAGTTTTGCTTAAATTTTTTTTTTATCAAAATGGAGGCTGCCGACAATGAATTATGGTTGCCAAAATGAAGGGAATTCAATTTGAGGAGGTTGTTTAAAAAATTTGGAGAGGATTTTGTGTCCATTCAAAATTGGCGTGCATGAAGTATGTGAAGAAAACATACTATCTCCTGATACACTTTAAAATTAACTTAAATGGGCCCATTCATTAGTAAAAAATAAAAAATAAAAAATTGGTTCAGGATCAAAAAATTAATTTATATTCCATGACTTAAAAAATAGCTTATTCAATGGCTCAAAAATAGAGGGGGATTTTTTTTATTTTTTTTGGTTGGATCAAGATTATTTATCTAGGCTGTGTACATATGTATATTATAGGATCAAGTCTAATATAATTTAGGACGATGAACATATTCTTTATTTTATTTTATTTTTTATTTTGAGTCTAATGGGTATATAACCCAGCTAATTTGAAATTTATTTTGTTTTTAATGGGTAGATGACCCATTATTATTTTGTGTTTGATTTGAATGGATGAATGACCTAACATTTCATTTAAATCAACATTTGGGTTCACAAAAAATAAAATAAAACCAATTCATTATTTTGGGTATCCGTATCAACTAGTTCGAATGAATAATTCAAATTAAAATCAAATCAATCATTATTTTGAATTTTGATTTGAAAATTATTTGATTTTATGGCTACATCAAAATGAAATGGATTGTCTACGCATTCAAGTCGAGAATTGGTTTTTAATTGGAATTAAATAAAATCATAATTTTTAATTTAAAATTTAATTTTTAAATTATTTGATTTTGTGATTACACTTAGGTCATGTTTGTTTGGGTGGACATGAGCTTGGGATTGGACTAATAGTCCAATAAAATTATTAATCCAATGTTTGGTTAAACAATTGAAGTACGGACTAATTATTTTAAACTTGACTATTAGTTAAGATAGGATACATAATCCAACGGATTCGTAGTCCTAGGACTATTAGTCATGGGAATGCTAATCCAGTCCGCCCAAACAAACATGGCCTTAATGTAATAAGTTGTCTATGTATTTAAGTCGGGGAATTAGCTCCTGACTAGAATCAAGTCGATTGTAGTTTGAAAATAAAATTGAATTTTCACAAATTAATTTTTAATCAATTTAATTTTACCGTAATCTTAAAAGAGACTAGATTTAAAATGACATGATTAACTTGGTAATAAACCTTTTGGGCCTTCCAAGCTGAAACTTTAGGGCCTAAAAGAGGCTTTGAGACAATATTGTGGCCTGCAGTGAACAGTCCAGAATTTGAGACTTTTGGGCCTGGAGTTTAAGAAGTAATGATTTTAGGGGGACTTACTAGCCGGTCCATGCAAACAAATTAATACCCACCAAGCCTTGCCCTATTTCAGTTTCCAATTTTACCCCTAAATGTCACACCACACGTGTGAATCAAAGAACAGATCACGAGGTCTCCCCTGTGCGCGTGAAACACACGCTCCTTCTCAATTGTTCTGATTTGGAAACTATGCTGATGCGATTTGGAAACCTTTCTGAGGCAATTTGCGATTTGGAAATCGAAACAAACAAAGAGATTTTCCCTGTATCTCCCATCGTTTCCAAAGAAATCACCTCTGTTTCGATCAATAATCTGATTCCGAACAGATCCCCAGCAAATCCTTCACCGTTTCGATCTATATTTCCTGTTTGGTTCATCTTCAACAAACATGCGAATGAAACGTGAGTCGTATTCATCTTCCATTCTTCTTTTATAACTATAATTAAGTGATATTGAACTTCATAATAATCACATCTTCATGTTCATTTGCTATACAATAACAGATTTGTTTATTTTGCTCAATTCAGTGAGAAAATTTGCTATAAGAATGATAGATTTGCTTAATTTTCTTAATTGAGTTATAAAATTTGTTATAATGATGGATTTGCTTTCCTTCTTCGTTCATAACTGTAATTGAGTTATAAAATTCGCTATACAATGATGGATTTGCTTACTTTTGCTAATTCAGTGATAAAATTTGATATACAATAACAAATTTGATTATTTTTCCCAATTCTGTGAGAAAAATTGCTATAAGAATGATAGGTTTGCTAAATTTTCCTAATTGAGTGATAAAATTTGTTATAATGATGGATTTGCTTCTCTTCTTATTTCATAACTATGGATTTGCTTCCCTTCTTCTTTCATAACTATAATTGAGTAATAAAATTCAACTTGAAGCTATTTTCATTGTGTATCATACAGTACTAATTTATGAGTGATATTCAACTTCATAATAATCACATCTTCATGTTCATTTTCTATACAATGATGGATTTGCTTACTTTTGCTAATTCAGTGATAAAATGTGATATACAATAACAGATTTGCTTACTTTGCCCAATTCAGTGATAAAATTTGCTACAACAATAATAGATTTGCTTAATTTTCCTAATTGAGTGATAAAATTTGTTATAATGATAGATTTGCCTCCCTTATTCTCTCATAACTATAATTGAGTGATACAATTCGACTTGAAGGTATTTCCAATTTGTACCATACAGTATTAATTTATGAGCGATATTCAACTTCATAATAATCACATTTTCATGTTCATTTCCTATATAATGATGGATTTGCTTACTTTTGCTAATTTAGTGATAAAATTTGCTTACTTTGCCCAAATCAGTGAGAAAATTTGCTATAAGAATGATAGATTTGCTTAATTTTCCTAATTGAGTGATAAAATTTGTTATAACGATGGATTTGCTTCCTTTCTTCTTTCATAACTATAATTGAGTGATAAAATTCGACTTGAAGCTATTTTGAATCTATACCATACAGTATTAATTTATGAGTGATATTCAACATCATAACAATCATACCTTTATGTTCATTTGCTATACAATGATGCATTTTCTTACTTTTGCTAATTCAGTGATAAAATTTTCCATACAATTGTTTTCATCTTCATCATGATACTTCATGTTCTTTTGCAATTTGGAATCTAAACTTTGCTATACACTTATATATTTGCTTAATTTGCATAATAGATTAATAAATTCTTCTTAGTTTGCCTAGTTCAGTGATAAAATTCTTCTTAATTTTCAATGTTCATGCTCAATGTTTTTGTACAGATGTTGCCAGTCATCATAAAAGATTACGTCATCGAGAAATAAGTTTCTCAAAGAAGAAAAAGATTGAAAAGGTTGAGTTTGTTATCGAGCCAACAACACATGAAAGTGAAAATCAACTAAAAGTTAAACCTGAATCTAACATTGATAATGAGGAGCCCAAACAGGAACAACTGAAACAACCTACAGAGCTCCACAAACCAAGAGGGAAGAAAAAAATTGATGGAAGAAAAACTAGGACTGAACAGATACATGATAATGAAGCAAAGTATGTCTACCGTTCCAACATTCAATCTCTTATCAAATTTTTCAAGACAACAAAACTCAGAGAGGAGCATTTGACAGTATTGAGAAAGACACCTTTTTCACTTCTGGTTGATACATTGAGTGAAAACAAGGTTAAAAGAAGAGATTCAATTAAATATGATGATATGGTTGCAAAAATTTTACAAACTTACCAAATGGATGGAACCACATTTGAAATTGCTGGGAAGAAGTTGAAGTTCAAAAAAAATGACTTCAAATTAATTTTTGGGATTGCATGTGGACAGAAGAAGATGAATCTTGCATACGGAATAAAAAATAAGGTAGCTATGGTGCAAAGAAGGAAAATAACCGAGAGCAGAATGACAAGTGCTTTAATCCAAAAGTTGATAACGAAACTTTTGAGAAGCAACAACAATGAAGATGTAGAAGATGTCGTTAGGCTTGTGTGCCTTCTGGTTTGTTTGCTTTTGTTGTATCCGGGTACTGGGACAACAATTGGTTGGGGGTTCATGAAATACCTCGAGAATATTGATGAAATGAAGTCTTATGATTGGTGTGGCGCAGCAAAACAACATTTTACAAGATCAATAGCACGCAACATCAACCAAATTGATAGAGTGTGTGGATGTGTGATCATCTTATTGGTAAGTAATACCTTACTTACAACAAACTATAATATTTACATTTACTAAATACTAATTTATAACATTTTTTTTGTCCTGAACAATATTGGATATGTGAGCATGCAAAGATTATCAAACCAAATGACAAGAACCCAATCCCAAGATTTGCAAGATAGAACATTACACATCTGGGAGAACAATTGGCAAAGTCATCCTTGCATGATCTGAAACATATTGAGGTATCCGTTGATATCCTTTGTTTTGTTTAAACAAATATTAGATTTTGTTATGCAGTGATAAATTTTAGCAAGATTGATAAATTCTTCTTAATCTTCATGGTGTCACATTTGTGGTAGAAAAATTATTTAGGCATTTCATCTGTGCTAGGAAATTATTCAATAAACAAGTTTTATCAGTGTATAACCTTTATTTCTTTAATTGAGTGATGAATTTTGCTATGCAGCGATAAATTTTGATATGGACTGATAAGTTTTTGCTCACAGTTATAAATTTTCTTAGTAAGCTTCATTGAGTGATAAATTTTGCTTAATGTTGCTAATTCACTGATAAAACTTGTTATCAGGAAGCAAATCACTAGTCTTATTATACATTTGAATCACCGAATGATAAATTATTACTTAACTTTGCGTCATATCATTCTTTTTAATAATTTTCATTCATGTAGAAAAGCAATTTGAAAGACACAATTGAAGAACAGAACATATACAAACAATTGCAACCAAAAACAGATGATGAGCATGAAGATGAAGAATGTAACTTTGAGCAACAAGAGGAGACTGAATTATCTGAAAAGGAAGAAGAACCAAATATCACAAAGATATTCAGTCTCAGTCCAAGAAGAAATTCACCGAATCCCAAGCATCAAACAGGTGCTCGAAAAAAGAGGAAATCAACAACATTGCAATCAAAAAAGAATGCAAGAAGGAAAGCCAACTTTCAGCATGAAACTGAAGAAGGTCCAGTTCATGTGCAAAGAAATGAGCTTTCTTTTGACAACCTAGAAAATGATGAAGAAGAAACAATGATCAAACAGAAAGTTGGTCCAACAACTTCCCCGGGATTCAAGCATCAAACACCGGCTGAAAAGAGGAAAGCAAAAAGGAAACTTGCCTATGAAACAAATATTTACCATGTGAAAATTAATGAACATATCTTTCAGAAACTAGAAGAGAATGTCCTGATAATCCAAAGGCTAGAAATGGAGAAGGCAAGAATCCAAGCAGAAAATGATGAGCTTAAGGAGCAACTCATGAAGCTCAGTAAACAAATGGAAGAACAGAGCAAGAAAACAAAGATACAAATGGAAGTGAAAGATGTAGAAATGCTGCTACTTAATGACAGAATTGCAATGTTGGTTGAATCAAATCTCTACCTGGACAGTGAAGAAGAACAAATCGCAGTTGAAGTTGAAGCCACCACTCCCAAAACATCGCCTCTTGTGAGCTCAATAATAAAAAGGGTGAAAAATAGAGAAACAAGAAAAGAGCACAAAGATCCAGATTTTTGGTACATAACGAAAAGACAACCAAAGCAGAACAAGACAGTTGATGAAGTAGAACCAATGGTTGAAGAAAGTGCAAAGACCAGAAAAGAAGAGCAGACACAACATCAACATCCAACAAAACAAATTGACACTTCCTATCCAGTGTTTCACAAATTGCCAAAGAAATCAAGGATGAAACTCACTAGTCTTTGGGCAACAAAAACCAGCAGGTAAGAACATGATTTGGTCCTAAAATTTCCAAATTTGGAATCTAAATTTTAGTATATGGTCATGCATTTATCAATGTATAACCTTTGTTTACTTCATTCATTGATAAATTTTGATATACAGGGATAAAATTTGCTACATAGTGATAAATTTTACTTAGTTTGTTTGGTGGAGTGATATATTTTGCTAATCTTCATGGTGTCTCATCTATGGTATCAAATTATTTAGGCATTTGAGTTTATGTTCTCTACTTCATTTCATTGTTCGGATTTGATACATCAAGTAAAATTTGATGCTCAATTTGTTCCCCTAACCTTTGTTTCGTTAATTGAGCAAGAAATTTTGGTATATAGTGATAAATTTTGTTTTCACATTTGCAGTTATCCAATATAGCAATTCTGGTTTTCCCTTTCTGTATTTGTGGTATTCCGAACTTTGGTTCCGTGGAGTTGGTGGTTGTGTACCTTGTTGTCATCCTTTAATTCCATATGTTTGAGTTTTGGGATATGTTGGGCGTGTTTCGAACAGGTAGGTTGAGTTTTGGTCTCAAATGTAGTTGCCCAAGTTTTTGGTGTTACGCTCGAGCGGGTCATTCTAAGCTCGAGTGGAGTTTTGATTTTTGGTTGTCCGCTCGAGCGGGCCTTCTTGCGCTCGAGCGGGGTTTACACACTCCCAGTATTTCGTGTCCCTGCAAAACTTCTGCAGGTGTGTTTTTCACGCTCGAGCGGGTTTCCTTACGCTCGAGCGGGTATATTGGCGCTCGAGCGGGTAGTGCTTTGTCTGTGAAAGTTCTGGGAGGGGGAAATCCACGCTCGAGTCGACTGGTTTTCGCGCTCGAGTGCATGTATTTTTATTCTTGTGTCTTGGCGCTCGAGCTGGCCTTCTTGCGCTCGAGCGTATCCAGATTTTTGTATTTGACGCTCGAGTATTATATTCTCCGCTCGAGTGGGTCATGCGTATAAAAGAGAGTAGCTAGGCGTTTTTGAATCACTTTTTACACTTCCTCTCTCTCTCTCTTACTTTCCCAAAATCGATTTTGAGAGCTCCTCTCTCTAGAATCTCCCTTCTCTCTAGGGTTTGATCTAGCTAGAGTGTCCTACTACCTTGTTGTCTTTGCAAAAGGTGTGTTGATCATCGTGGGCTACATTTTGATTCGAAAAGTTTGGATTTTGGAGCACTTTGAATTTCTTCTTCATCTCCGTTTGAGCTCTAACTTCGAGGTAGGGATATCCTACTCCATCTTATGAGCTTTGTCTTAAAATTTTGGCATTTTGATATGTTGGGGGTCGTTGGGTAATTTTGCGAAGGTTTGGGGTCATTGTGTAATTTTCAAAAGATGGGGTTTCAAACATATAAACCTTTATGTATGTATTATATTGGAAATGGACTCGGTGTTGGTTTGTTAATGGAAAATGGAACCTTAGGGTTGGTATTGAGATTTAGGGAAAAGCCCTAATTGTCTCGATAAATTAATTTGTATAATTAATTTTGGAAAAATGAGGAATTGAATAGGAAATATTCAAATTGGATGTGTATGGGATTGAAGAGGTGTAGTTGGAATAATTTATTGATCACCTAGACAAAATGTTGATATGTTATCCATTTGGTGCATTTATTTTTTGTTTAGAAATAATTGCTTTGGGCTATCAGTGGAGGATAGTCTTGATTGTTGTAGACAATGCATGATGTTAGGCAAACTAAAACTAATCAATGGAATGTGTCATCGAATATGACGGTTGGAATAATACATTAACCTTATGTATTGATTGATTATGTATATGATCTGTATTTATATACATTGTGTTGGGTGGGAGGAGATAGGGGACGTACTCCACGGCTTAGGGGAAGATAGGAGTTGGACCTCTAAACCAGAAGTTGTTTTCCATTGATACAGCACTACAATGTATATTATATGTGAAGTATGGAAGTGTTTTTGTTATATTGATACAGCACTAAAATGTGTATCATTTGTGAAATATGGAAATGATTTTATGTGTTATTGATACAGCACCAAAATGTGTATCCGTCATGATTTTCGAAAGTGTTTTAGTGATGAGATACTATCTCACTAAATTGTTTGGCCAGGTTCTGAGCCTTGTTTTCAAACTTAAAGTTGAATAAGAAATAGAAACTGAAGTGTGACATGGATATGATTTTCATGAAACTGTAATATGACATGAATTGGAATATAAGTGTGGACCATCTATCGAATGCTATTATTTTAGTCATTGTTTATAGTTGGTTTAGTATATTTCTACTGGGCTGTGGCTCACCCTATATGGGGCATAATTATCAGGTACAGGTAGCATGCCACCTCCAAGGACATAGCTTGGGAGGCTTGAGACTGTTAGGCTGTCATTTTTTGTGTTTTTGATTGTATTACATGTATATCAAGCCAAGGGCTTTCTTTTTTTTTTATTGTATTACATGTATATCAAGCCAAGGGCTTTCTGTGTATAGAGTTAGTACTCTCTTTTTGTAACCAAGTGTTGACTTGGAAAATTGTAAGCCCATAGGGCATTTACTTTTGATGTCAACATGTAATACATTTTGTAAAGACTACTCTGATGGAATATATTTATGCCTTATTCACTTATGTTTAAGCATGCTATTGTTGGATGATTTATGAGTTTATTTTGAGGGCGTTACAACTTGGTATCAGAGCGTACTGGGTTTGAATACTTTGGGTACGTGGGAAGTGATTAGTATCACAATGGGTTTGTCTCGCTTGTTAGAGACTTATGTGTGACAGTATGCGTTTATTTGACAACATGTTTATGTGACCACTTGGGTATGGGATTTAGTTTCTAGGATGTTGATTGGATCCTTGGTTTTTTGTGAGTCTTGTTGGAAAAGCACTTGATCAATGCTGTTTCTAACCGAAACTCTAGTAATGCCTCGGGACTATCATTATCCGGAAATGAAATTCGTAAGTGCTTATGTGTTTATGAGTGAATTACAATTGTCCATGCATTAGGACATGAGTGTTGTAGCTTCGGTACATTTGTGAATGTGCTAACGTTCTTCATTACCTTTATTAGGATTTCAGGACGAGGACGAGGAGGTAGACGTGGTAGGCATGGTAGGCAGGATCCGGCGCAGCAGGAGGGGGTTGGCCAAGCCAATGTGGCCGAGCCAGCAGGTCAGCAGGCTATGGGCGATTTAGCCCGTGGGATAGCCGATGCTTTCTCAGAGCTGAGAATCCAATTTAGGCTCAAGTGCAAGCCCTGGTTGTTGAGGCAGGGCCTTCCTTCTTGAAGAGGGAGTTCTTCCGGTCTAATTCGGACGAGTTTATTGGGGATCCAAAGGAGCCACTTAAGGCGGATGAGTGGTTGGAACAAATGACGAAGACGTTTGAGATGCTTGGCACCGAGGACGGAGCATTGAAAGTGACCTTGGCATCTTTCCAACTTAAAGGGGGTGCGGGTCAGTGGTGGAAATACATGAGGGGCCGTATTGGTGGCACGTGGGAGGCTTTTGTAGAGGCTTTCCAGGAGAAGTACTTGTCTCTAACAGTCAGGGAGAAGCTGAGAGAACAGTTTTACCAGCTCAAGCAACTGAGTTTGTCTGTGGCCGAGTTTGAGGCTGCTTTTACTAGTCTGTCCAGGTTTGCACCTGAACTTGTGGCGTCCGAGGAACGCCGTTGCATCGAGTTTGAGAAGAAGTTGAGGCGTGACCTCAAGATGAGAGTTGGGGGTTTATGACCCGAGATTATGGGCGTTTTGTGGATGCTGCAGACCACATGGAGATCATGATGCAGGAAGAGGAGGAAGGGCAGAAAGGCTCCAAGAGGAGCCAGGATGGTCAGGGTGATGGCAGGAGACAGAGGGGTTCTAACCCTCAGCAGTCTCAGGGAGGTTTTACTAGATCGACCTTTCCAGTGCCGAGTGCAGGCTCGGGAAGAGGCAACCAGGGGGACATTACCTGTTTTAAGTGTGTTCAGCTGGGCCACAAGTCTTCGGTTTGCCCACAAAGGAGAGGAGGTCAGCGAGCTGCTTCTTCTTCGGCTCAACCTCAGGGCCAGAGTCAGAGCAGAGGCCAGCCTTTGTCTTGTTATCAGTGTGGTCAGCCTGGGCACCTGAAGAGGTTTTGCCCATAGTTGAGTGCCACTTCGGGGGCGTCTGGTTCTAGGCAGACGTAGAGTTTTCAGCCAGTTCAGTCTGTGCAGGCCTCGAGGGCCAATCCGGGGGCTTCGTCGTCCTAGTTTGTGCAACAATCTTTTGCTCCTAGGGGTGAGCAGGTGGATCAGGGGCCTATAGGGCGTGTGTATGCTGTTACCGCGCAGGACCTAATACCGGCTCCATTAGTTGTGAGACGTACTTTTCTGTTTTGTAACTCGGTTGCTAGTGTGTTGATCGATACGGTTGCATCTCATTCCTGTGTATCTGCTGCATTTGCATCTGTTTTGGAGTTAGAGTTGGCATAATTAGCATCTCTTATATGTGTTGTATCACCTATTGGGGGTGAATTGATTTTGAAACAAGGATGTAGGGGTTGTGATATAGAGGTCGCCGATCGTCGGCTTCCGTTCCCTTTCGTAGTTATGCCCATGACGGGTTTTGATGTTATTTTGGGTATAGACTGGCTATCGTCATACCGGCCTGTTATAGATTGCTACCGCCAGAGGGTCACAGTATGTACCTTGAGCGGGGAGTGTTTCCATTTCTTGGGGAATCGGGTTGGCAGTGTGTTGCCACCGGTGTATGATCCGCGAGGGTGGAGTGAGCTTAGTGGTCTTCTTGCTAGCTTTATGAGTAGTGAGTGTGATGAGACCCAGATTGTATTGCTGAGAGTGGTTTATGAGTATTCGGATATTTTTCCTGAGGATCTCCTTCGTTTGCCACCTCATCGAGAGATCGAGTTCTCTATTGATTTAGTGCCCGGCATGGCGCCGATTTCTATGGCACCTTATCGTTTTGCCCCAGCGAGTTGAGTGAGTTGAAGATTCAGCTCCAGGAATTGCTAGATAAGGGCTTTATCCTATAGCGATCCCGGTTTCCCCTTTTCTTTAACTGTTGTACCCGGACTTAGGTTCCGTGGAGTTGGTTGTAGTATATGTCTTGTTTACATCCTTTACTCCTTGCACTCGAGTCTTGGGTTGTGTTGGGCGAGTTTGAAACAGGTTGGTTGAGCTTGGGAACCAAGGGTAGTTGCCCAGATTTTGGCCTTCACGCTCGAGCGGGTATTTTGACGCTCGAGCGGGCCCTTCGTTGTTGTCTGTCCGCTCGAGCGGAGTTTCCGACGCTCAAGCGTAGTTTTCCATCTTCCAGTATCTGCTCTGCAGTGTTGTTCGCTCGAGCGGGAGTTTTGACGCTCGAGCGGGATGTTGTGTGTGACGCTCGAGAGGGAGGGTGGACGCTCGAGCGAAGACCTGGTTCTGTAAAAGTTCTGGA